CAACAGTCCGGGCACTGCCTACAAGCCCCAAGCCACAGCTCTGGATTACACTACCCCGGAAGCTTTCTAGTTAATAGAAGTACTGGATGCAGTGGTACCAGTCACAAATAAAAGTACAGTTATTTTACCTCCTCTTGGCTTCTGGTCCACATCATCAAACCACCTCACGCAACTGACATCACAGAGACATGACGACTTGAGACAAGGAAAGGAAGCACTGGATGACATTAACCAAAGGACTCAGAGCAAGAGGTTTACAGATTACTACAGATGCTCAGCTCAGTGAAGGCTCTTGCAGCAGAGCCTTCCCAGGCCTATCCCAAACCTTTCACTCAGCTGTCTCCACATTAAACAAGTCACTGAGCCTCCTGGTAGCCAGAGGCTGGATTTATTGCAGTTCAGCTCTAATAAATCAGGCTCTCTTTATCACTCTTCATGTTCCAAAACCAAGTCTTGCTGTTGACCCTTTGACACTGACAGCAAGTCTAATAAGAGGCAGAAGTCTCGCAGATACACAGGACAACCTTAACATAAGTTCAAGCACACGTAACCCTCTGCGCACATTGTTTCATGCAACACACTTCTGTGGCCTTAGAGAGTCAGATTAGATGGAGAATGGGTAGTGATAAACAGCAAATCTGTGGATGTTTCTTCTCTCCTCAGCTCAAAAGTCCCCATTTGCCTCACATGTATAACACTGACATCTTTTAACTTCAGCATCTGTCAGGCTGCCACGTTATCCAACAAGTCACTAAAGAAATCCCAGCTGTAGCCCATTTCCTCCAGAGGAAAAGCAACCACATCAGTCAGTTCTCAACAGAAACTTCACAGAGACATGCACCTCTGACTGCTACATCTGCTCTTGGACTGCCCAGAGTACAGCAAACAGCTCTTTCCCATTTAAATATCTCCTTACCTTTTCCGGTGTGGAATTTTACCCCTAGATTAACATGCAGTTACAGTCTAGAACAGCAAATGTAGAGCCTCATCACAGCTACCATTGCCATGGCCAAAACTCCCTTCTGTTCCGACAGTCTTTTTGTGACTTGATTGCCACTTCTTGCTGAAGCTGGCTACAGCTACTCTGTGCTACCCAAATGCCTCTTGGAACACTCCTCACCACAAAATCTCCTGGACTCAAAACCATATTCATCTCAAACATGTCAAGGGACTCAGGACTGGCTGGTTTAGTCTCACAAAACATGAAACCGTGACACTCCAAACATAAGTCCTGGATTTGGTTAAACAGTCATGTTCAACCATCCACAACAGAAATAGTTTAGCCATTGCAGAGGCACTGTGACAACTTCTTAAGCTGGTATGACCTTTTCCAGGTGGTTGTCAGCAGAGCCAGTGATTTTCTCCATTGAGACCTAGAAACTTCCCTGCAATATTCGACTTCATCACAAATTTACCACACCTCCTAGTAGAGACCAAGCAAAAATCCCTGAAGCATCATCTGACTCAACTTAGTCATGCCTCATTTATATGTTTTCTTAGTTATTTATATTTGAAACAGTTCATAAAGATTCTCTTAATATACTCTAAATCAAATACTGCACAGGATAATGCCCATGAAAGCCTTCAGCATTCCCAAGGCGACTGCCCATCCTGAAATCATGGGCATGATATTTATGCCACTCAATTTGTGAAAGAAAAACAAACCTTTAATCTAGTTGAAGCCCATGTGAGAATCCTTTCTCATGTTGTTCTCTTCCAATAGCAAAGAGGCCAGTTCTACTGAAGCCAGTCTGTAGCCATCATGGTACTCACACAACACTTGCCAGTAGTCTTATGGAAACGTGCCAACATAGACTTGTTCATTTATTTAATCAGATTAGCATGGGTTGAAAAGGACCTTAAGATCATCCAGTTCCAACCCCCTGCCGTGAGCAGGAACACCTCACACTAGACCCTGTCACCCAAGGCTCTGTCCAACCTGGCCTTGAACACTGCCAGGGATGGATCATTTACAACTTCTCTGGGTAATGTGTGCCATCATAGGCTTAACCTTCTGGGCATTCACCTACTTTTAGTTAGCTGCAGCCACCAACCAGATGGGGATTACGAGTAAACAAAGTGACACTTGGCAGAGAGGGACTGACAGAAAGGGATTATTCTGCTCATAGCCTCATTTGTTCTCAGTTCTGATTGTTTTCAGATGCTCTCTGCACATCTCTCTTTGTAGTGGAAGACCGAGCCACTTAGAGATGGCCTTTTCCTCCTCTTTGTTCCCTCTGACACAGTAGTGACTAGAGAAACATCTCAATCTCTTTGTGAGACACCGTATTTGTATATCCAAGTGCAGTTCTGCTTTCTATTAATTTCCAGTGAGGTGCTTTCCTGTGCTTCATCCTTTTTCCAGGATGTGACATGAGAGATGGAGAATTTTCCTTGCTACATGCAGATGACTTGTTCCCTAAACAGTGTCCAGGAATCCCATGATCAGGGATTAAATAATAGCTTTCATTGTGAAATGTGAATGCCAGTTTTGGACTCTTCCATCCACATTGTTGAGACACAAATTCTAATTCAGGTTTGCAAATCCAGGGAATTGCACATAAGAAAAGGCAAACTGAGGTACCCAAGGACATCAGGATTCTAGAGTATCAGTGGATTGCTGGCACAGGACAGACCTCTTCCATTTAAAACATGCTGAGCTCCCACAGTAGCTGACCAAGCCCTGCACTGGTGGTTTCCACTACCTCACCAGACATTGCTATTTGTCCATCATCCCCTTCAGTCAGATTTGACCTGAAAGCCAGCTCAGGAAGGTGCTAAACCAGATACATCCCCAGCTGGCTTTGCTGATTTCTGCCCTGATGCTTTTCAGGTTTCTGCAGACACAGCCAAAGTACCCTCCATCAGTCCCTTGGGAGTGCATTCTGGGCACTGAGGCCACTGCTGCCAGTACAAACTGGTCACAAGTGGTAGAAATCAGAGAGCCAGAGAGCTCAGTGGGAAGCCTGTGTCAGCACCTATGGAAAGAGGACAACTAATGTCCACCCACCTCAAAGACCTTTTCTTCCAAGGATTCTGTCCAAATCCCAGCAACAGCACAAAGGTGAAGGAATTCCACCTCTTCAAACTTAGGTCAGAGGAGACACCTGCCATCATCACGAGATGACTCTGCATCCCAAGTGTCTCTTCTATACCACCATCTACATCCTTGTTATCAGACCCTTAGTTTGTGTGCACCTCTGGCCATCTTTTTCCTCCCAGGCTTCCCAGAGGATCATCCCACAGCAGTTCTTTACATAGGTTCTGTAACATTTATATCCCTGGCATGAAGGTAAACAGAGTACATCACACAGAGGCATAGAGTCAGCCTTCCCCTTTTGGTACCTGGTTTTGGTATCTCTCTCCTCAGTCATCACTGCTGAACATCCAAAGCTGAAGCCACCCCTCCATCTGTAACCCTTTTGTTTCCCAGTGGACTAGCACATTTCAGCAGCAGCTGAAGGTGTCAACTGAAGTTACCAATACAATTCATCATCCTATGGTCTCCTCTCCCTCCCACTGCTAAGGGTCTCATTCAGGAGAAATAAAGAAATAGAACAGAATATAATGGAATGGAACAGAATAGGTCAGGATGGAGACATGTCTGAATGGAGCTGTTTTATCACAAGTTTCATCCATATCTGGACAAACGTAAAATCATAGAGGCACCCAGAAACAACTGTCAGAGAGCTATATGGAGATTGCTATTCCCATAAAGAGTGTGAGACCCATATCCTGGAATTGGAGCATGAAGTGTTGCTGTAAGTTACTCAGACTCTGAAGCAGAAAGTGAACCATAAGCCCCCTGACAGTTATTTACTAACAACAGTTACTCGAAGAGGGGTCGTTATTACACCTGAGGTGCTGCCAAGAGATTGACCAAGTGAATTGTTTGCCTTGTGTGTAATTGCTAGTAACAGAGAACCAAAGTCAAAGACAGGAACAACTGAGATGCAATTAAAAGTCCATATGCAGCTCAAGTTAGAATGAAGTCCAGCTCTGCACACCCAACTCAGACACGCAAGTCCAGAAGTCAGAAACTACGCAGAAGCAGCCCCTACCACATCCACCAAACCAGTGATTACTGGTAAAAAAAAAGTCAGCATGTACTACAAACTAGTAACTTACCATCAGCAGCAGAGCCTTGCTCACTCTATCCTGCCCCCCCACCCCTGCTGTGAAAATAAATCCTTTTATCTGATACAGGACAAGTACAACACTGCAACAATTCACTGCCATTTCTGAAAACTGGAGCAAGTACAAGGCAAACAACCCAGGCTTCTCATACTGTCTGCCAACTGTAAGGAAAACCACAAGCCTGGATGACAGCCCTTTCATTTGGTCCCACAATTTTATTCTCTGGGAATAAAAAAAAAAACCCTTTGAGAACTGACACACAAGGCAAGGCAGTTGAGGCTTTATGGAGAAATACCAGGACAAAACTCCACGAACAGAAGTTGTTTCATAAAACATATATAAATATGCCTTTATTAGAGCACAGCCACGTTTTCCCATCCCACCAAGAAGTGAGTGGCTGCAGAGCAAGTTCTCACACTTGGGCAGAGGTCACACAGCTTTGCCCAGAGGCTCTGAGCACTGCCACAAACCACCAGCAGGTGTCAAAGCAGCATGAAATCCTGCCAGCTGCCTTCCCTGGCCAGGGCAAGGTCTCACCAGCACTCCACATACAGGGTTCACTCCACTGAGTCCACACTGCCAGAACGAGCTGATCTCTTCTGCGGGAGGAATCAGCTCCATTTCAGACAGCCACCTCAGAAACAGTTCACATGCATGCATTTGCAGCAGCCTCCAGAGAGCTCATCTCAGAGACAACCGTTCTGAGCTGGGGTTATATGCTGGGCTATACCACATGGGGAGGAGACAGGCTTTGTCCCAGTCACCAGATATCATCACAGCTGTTTAGCCACAAGTAAACTTCCAGGGCCATCACTGAGGCTACATGACCCCATCCAGGTGCTCTGGGTCTTGGGCAGCAGATGCTAAAGCACTGCAAGAATCATCTTCTCTTTCTTCTTCCTCTTCCTCTTCTTCTCCTCAAAACGGTCAGTAGCATCAGCAAAAAATGTCACCTCATCCTTGGCCTCAATCTCTCTCTTCAGGTACTGGAGTCCTGCCATGTTGAATCCCAGCACATCCTGCAAACAGACCAGGCACATGACAAGCTTGTTTGGGGGCAGAGGGTCCTGCACTGGCCACCCTCTACTAAGAAATGATGAAAGCAAAATAGCCCACAGATTTAAATAAACCAGCATTCTTTACAGGTAAACTTTATCTGAGTAGAACAGTCAGTCCTGCACCCTGCTCCCCACAGTTCTCTCAAGAGCATCTATAATCCACTGTATTTGCTGAAAGACAAGATGCTGACAGGCACTAGTTGCATCATTTGTGAGATTAGCAGCCCACAGAAAAGCCCAAGAGAAATAGAAAGTCAGAGCCCAAACACTCGAACAAATCCAAGAATAAATGAGGGAGAAGCATAAATGCAGGCTCATCACTGAGTGGTCTCACACTAGGAAGAACATAAGGAAAAGGCAGCCTTTTTGCACTGGAGGAAGGTGAAATGGGCTCAGACCCCCAACCAGCTTTCCCACTAGACACCATAGACAATACACACTCCCAGACACTGGACCATCCTCTCACTCCAGATCCCAGGGGGAGGGTGCAACACTCACCCGGGCCTCACTGACTCTGGAGATGGTGGTTTTCTTCAGGTTTTCTATTACTGTCACCAGCATGTGGTTGCCTGTGATCTGCCCAAAATGTATCCTGGGAACAAAGCAGGCAGTGATGTATTGCAGCATTATTGTTGGAAACATCATAAAGTCCCTCACCTGAGCCTATGTTCTGGACATAGGATTCTTCTTAAATTAGGCCAGCCAGGCATGGGCAGATTGACCTGAGAAAGATATTTTCTAAAGTTTCTCTTTAAGTGGTTCAAGGGGAGGGTCTCTGTCAGGCACTCTCTGAGGGCATGGGCTCTGCAACGACCCTGTGCCAGTCAACAGTGCAGGATCTTCATACAATGAGACTTCAGGGACCAGGACCAGCAAGCCCATCTGGGCATGTCAAACCATTCCCACACACTATTTGCTGCAGCCGATTCCTTACCTCCTGCAGACACAACATCTTTATTCCCAACAATGCTTCCCAAGAGCTCCAGACCAGATACATAAGAGAAAGCCCACTACTGACCAGAGCACTGTTAGGGCTGTCACAGGTACAGGTTCTGGACAGCAATAGTAACCAAACTGACACTAACAGATCCGTGGGAGCAGACTGAAGACTCACTTGAGCAGGAAGAGGAGAGCTCGGCACAGGAGTTCAATTTCTGAGCCCAGGTGAATATATTCATTGAACAGTCTGAGCAGGTCAGGAACATAGGAGAAGGGCAGCACCAGGAGAGACTCTTCCAGCTCACTGAGGAGAAAGCAAAAGGATAGAAGTGTTAGTCTCAGCCACTGCACTGCTACAGATGAGCAGGAAGCACTTCCGTATAGGTAGGTTCTGCTACAAAAGCTGTGCTAAGCAAGACTGCTGGTCTTTGACTGCCCACAAAGCACAGGGTGCCTTCACAGACTACAGCCCAGGTCAGCAGACATCTTCTGGCACAGGGAACAGGCACACAACCTTCCCTCCTCAGCATCCCCAAGCTGCTCTTCACATAAATGTGCACTTCCAAGCAGCCAACTCACATACACAAGCTCCATCCAGCACTCCCCATGGAAGCAGCAATTTCCATTCCCCAATTCTATGCATGAGGCAGCCAGGAACAGAACCCAATTCTCTAGCACTGCCCAAACCCAGCATGAGAGACCATTCAAGGACCCCAGCCAGTCCCGGGCCCAGAAATGCAATACTTTGTCACAAAGCTGTTCAGCAACAAGGCTCTTAGGACTCACCTTGACCTGACCTTCTTGAAAACTTCTAACACGTATGCGGAAGGCTGTAACAGAGGAAAGAAACAGCTCTGCGTATCAAGAAACATTCTAGGACAAACATGTTCCTTAAGGTCTGTTTCACCCAGTTAAAAACATGCAATCAGATCTTGTGAGATGAACAGATCAGGCTGAGTATAGCAAAGAGGAAACTCCTTCAGCTTCAATCAGTCTGAGAAGTTCTCCCTCCCCATAACATAACCCCAGTCTTCTTGGATACTCCAAACTGGTGAAGAATATTGTGAAAATTGGAGTTTATATTCAAGTAACTAAATCATCTCATATGCAGTTCAATGGATCTTGTACAACCTGGAATGAAAAGCCTCGTGAAACACACAAATTACACAGATGAAACCTTACACAAACTCATCTCCCAAAGACTGGGAATTGCCATAGGAAAGTGCCTAACTACTGATTCATAGGCTTTCATTCACTTCTATTCAGTCTATTTGACTTATAATTAAATATACCTATATTCACAGGGGAGGGGGCAGAAGGGCTCTTGTAAGGTGGTTACAGGTGGTTAGAAGGAAGACAGAAGGCTGTTCCATTGGGCATAGACATACTCCTCAGAGAACATGAGAATGAAAAAAACAACGATCTTCCTAAGGGTAATTCAAAATGCAGTCCAGGAGTACACATTGGAATAAACCAAGAAAAACAAAATAGAATCAGTAACTGCTACACCAATGCCACAGAAATAAGCCTGGGCAGCTACCCCACAGCCCTGTCTTGGTCAGAGCTGCCCTCCTGTGGTTACTACTGCAGAGGCAGTAATTTAGGGTCAGGAAGCCTTCAGGTGCTTCCAGCTCCCACTTCATGAGTCAAGGCAACAGAGTAGGTATGCTGGGACAGGTGCTCCACAAGCAGCATCTCTCCCAGGAAAGAGGGTAAGTGACTGTCAGTTCATGGTCTGACATGCTGAATGCTCATCATGGTCAATTCACCACCTAACAGGACATGTCATAACTTGTGGCTAGTGTTTTTACCCAGTAGACTAGCACATTCTTCCAAGGCTTTGGAAACAGGTTCAAATCCCCTTCTTTGTACAATAAGATTCGATTAAACATCACCTGCTTCCAAAGAATTTGCTAGCTACTGAGCCATAGGATTTCATTCACCCCTCTTCTATCTATTCCACTTGGATTTAAATATGCCTCTATTCACAGAGGAAGGGAGAGAATGGCTCTGGCTAATAAGTGTTTATTGCTGTCACAGGGTAGGAGGCACAGTGATATGGGTACTCCATCATGCATTCCCCGGGATACTCAGGTATTTTGTGTAACACAACACAGCTCCTCTGGAATATGCTATATAATGGCAACTGCACCCTCCTAGCAGCAGGCACAGGAAGGGTTTGAACTAGCTTTCCCACGTCTTGGAGAATACTGTCAACTGCTGGTTCATGATAAGGTCATGGCTACCATCAGGGTTACCCTGGTGGAGTAAAACATTTGTAACACACCTCCAGGATATTAAAAAATACCAAAAACCACCACCCCAAAATCCCAAATTCTGTTCACTTTGCGCAAGCAGAAATGCTGAGTGTTCATTTCAAGTTGAACCAAACAATTAGTCTACAGTAACCCAGTGTTTTGGCTCAGTCTGCAAATGAACCAGCCCCACTCCAGTTGAGAATGGGCCACAGCCTGTGGGCATTCCACTTACTGTAATATTTCCATAGGCACGGAGGATGGGATTGACGGGAAAGGGAACCTGGAGACACAGAATGGGTTAGAATGAGGCAGGTGTATGTGTACAAATACATATTCACAGATAAAACTTTAATCTGCAGTAGTAAGAGAGCTTTTATCAAGTGTCTTCCTGTAATTGCACCTCCACCCTCCCCAGAACATCGATGAAGCCTCATTTAGAGCCAGTCTCACTCTCAGATGTGTACGGTTAACTCAAACATGCATGAATCTTCTTCCACTTCTTCATTGTCACTTTTCCCACTTATATCATAGACCTTTATTTTGCAGGGAAATGTTGAGCTGAAGGCAGAGAATAGGCTTTGAGATGAATTTGCAACAGCATGCTCTCCCAAGAACAAAAAATCCCCATCTTACATCCTACTATGTCTTGAAACAAAGATCATTGGAAGGAACACCCAACCAGCCATGCCCAGAGCAGTGCCATTTTGTTCTCCAAAAGACTTCAGCAAATCTGTGCTATTTCCAGCTTTTCCGATTTTATCTGCATGCTAAACTGGAAGGATACACCCAGCACCCTTGGGACTGGCACATTCCTCAGTCTTTTACCTCTTTCTGGCCTTGTGCTCCTTCAGTTTTGCCATCTCTTCTCTATACAGCTCAATAGCTTCCATGATCCGCTCAGCCTGTGCAGTACAGGAACAGCACATCAGTGACACCAGAGAAGCCAAAGCAAAGCTCAAGTCCAACTGGACAAATGGAGGTGGAAGCAGTGAGATTGATGTGGAGCATCACAGGACATCTCACTCGGAAAGGTAACTTCTACTCCAGACTGCACCACTGCCCTGAGCACATCAATCATGTCCTGAAGATGTCAGAACATGATCTGCATCAAAAAGGAACATGATCAGCAGGTTGAGAGAGGTGATCCTGTCCCTCTACTCAGCTCTCATGAGACCCACTTGCAGCACTGTGTGCAGTTCTGGTGTCACCAACATAAGAAGGACATGGAGCTGTTGGAACAAGTCCAGAGGAGGCCATGAGGATGGCCAGGGGCTGGAGCACCTCCTGTACAGAGACAGGCTGAGAAAGTTGGGGCTGTTCAGCCTGGAGAACAGAAGACTGCGTGGTGACCTCTTCCAGTGTCTGAAGGGGGCTGGAGAGGAACTCCTCATCATGGACTGAAGCAATAGGACAAGGGGTGATGGGTTTAAACTTGAACAGGCGAAGTTCAGGTTAGATAGAAGGAAAAAATTCTTTACTGCGAGTGTGCTGGCACAGGTTGCCGAGAGAAGTGGTAAAGGCCCCATCCCTGGCAGTGTTCAAGGCCAGGTTGGACAGAGCCTTGGGTGACATGGTCTAGTGGGAGGCACCCCTGACTCACCTTTGGGGAGAGGCCTGGAGCCTCCCAGCTCCAGGAGAGAGAGAATGGAGAGAACATCCCAGCTGCCTTACGCTCTTTTGGGCTGCAGACCCCAAAGGGCAAGAGCAGCCCCATCTGTCCCACACATGACAAGCAGAGAAAGCTGCAGCTACAGGAACCTCACGTGTTCCCTGGAGAGGAATTCCTGGTGCCAAACCCTCCAGAGTCAGACCCCTCACTGTGGGCCATGGAGCAGACTGCTCTTGCAGACTTGCTCTTGCCCTTATGTGACAGGACAGGTTACTCTTTCATGATGCTCCAACCCTCAAGAGACTGCTGAGGCACAAAGCAGTGCTGGCAGACCCACACAATCTTACCGCTTTGATTGTTTCAATGGTCTTCTTTCCTGCCAGCCCCGTCTCTCCTTGTGTCTCTCCAGCCACCTACAAAATACAGAGTCTGCATCTTACCACAATCCATACTACAAAAAACAGCCCCAGTCCCTAAACTGGTCATTTATCTGGGAAAATACTGTACTTGCCAAGTGCATAGCTCTTCCTGAGGAACAGAGGTGCTGTGCTAAGACTGAGCTCTGGGAGGCATGTAAAAACAGCTCTTGTTCTGCCAACAGAGGCTGAGTAATACAACCAGCATCAAAACAACAAGCAGGACAACCTAAGCATGTAAGCAGGAGGGATCAGGCTCCCGCACCAATCCTGCACTACATGGAGTTGGAAGCAGAGTCAGAAGGCAGCCTTGGTACAGAGCTGGTGTGGACCTGGACATTGGAGATAGTAAGGCCTCCAAGTACAGCAAGGTTTCAGCGTGCACAGCTACTGTGCAGTAGTTTGGCCAGCTCCACACTCTCTCCTGAAGTTGTCTGTATGAAGTATCAGAGTCAACTGCATCATGGGGCAACCACAGCTTCACTAGCACCTTCCCCCCTGCACCTCCTCAAAGCAGTGAGATTACCAGTCCTGACACCTCTTCTTCACCTCCTACAGAAGTAGTTATTCCAGCCTCTGTACAGTCAGACTGACACACACTCAGTGCAACTCACCACAGGCTGCTCTTCCTTTGCCACACTCTCTTCATATTCAGCTTCTCGTTCCTACAGTGGAGGAGAACACAACATATTAACAAAGGTGAGCAGGCAGCAACCAAAGGTACAAATCCCCTCTAGACCAGCTGAGCAAGGGAACCTGCACCTTCATGCAGCTTGTTGCGAAACCAGGACAAATCAGCAGGGATCAACAATAACAGTGCAAAATACCCACTTGTCCCTGGTCCCAACCCCACAGAGAACTCTGGAATCTCCCAGACTGAAAGAAATCAAGGTCTCTGCTCTGGATGCAGGAATAGACAGGCCACCAAGTTGAGATGGAGACAACAGCAATTCAGCACGAGACCAGTCCCAGGGTTATCCTAGCCTGCAAAAGGGAAGAGTCTCCTGTCTGGCACCTCTCACATCAACAGGGCCCCATCAGTGTGTAATTCACTACTAGTGTATTCATACCCATCTTGTTACTCAAACTTTACCCAAACCACACTTTTCTGGCATCTAGAAAAGGAGCTGTCTCTGTGTCTCCTCTTACCATCATCATTCCTAGCACACCAACCACTGGGCATCAACATGCTGCCTATGGGTCACCTCAGCTCTCGTATCAAGACAAGTCTCTGAGCAGTCTGACAGAGCTTCAAGGTGAGCCTGTGGTGAGCAAGGGGTTGGGCTGGACTCTGACACCAGAGTTTCCATCCTACTGAAGTCTTTCTGTGAGTCTACAATTCACATATATACATACTACATGAATACATGCTTCAAATGGAGTAGAAGGGACTTACTCCATCATCCCTAAGCTCTGAGGCCTGCCTCTGAGATAGAATGGACTTATTGTTGGAAAAGAGGAAAACAAGACAAACTGCATTTAACAGGAGCAGTGCTCTCCATCACTCCACAATGGCCACCCGGTGAACTGCCCACAAAGCACACACATTAAAAGGAGCACAAGAGAATAAAAGAAGGTCAAACAGCGTAGCCAACAGACCTGTTGAGAAACACAGTTCTACTGGTTAAGTCTGGGAAGCAAGAGAGAAGCAAAGCAGAAAGCAAGTCAGCCAGGCATCTGCAATACAGCAGACAAACAAGCACCTGCAGCATCTGCAGTGCTCTCTCAAGACACCTCAGGGCAACAGTCTCATCATGCAAAAGATGCCAGCCAACCCTGGGCACCTCGACACCAGGCTGTGGTTAGCAGTGAGCAACCTGGCAAGTGTGGAGCCAGACTCCTCCACAGTGAAAAACTAAGAGAAAACAGTTGTCTTTGGCAGGAAGGACACAACTCTCACCATCTCCCTCTCCTCTTCCAAAACAAGTGGCTCCCTTGTCCTTTCCCAGAGGCGCAGGGACTTGTCATGGGATGCCGACACCACGTAGTCTCCATTGGGACTGAGTGCCAAACACCAAACCTCCTGGTGATGCCCCTGCATGGCAGACAGGAGAGGTAAGACAAGACCACCACCCAGCTCCCACTCCTGAGGGAAGTGCTGCTCATACAGGGGTAATGCTTGCTTCCAACAGTCTCCAAAACTTCCTACCTCCAGTGTCTGGATGTGCTCAAATTTATCGGCATCCCACTGCTTAATCTTGCTGTCCTTCCCAGCTGTGAAGAAGAGATGGGATTTCGCCACAAACTGCAGATACATCACACTGGAAGGGAAAAAGGCTCAAATTCACTCACTTGGGGAACACTGCAGACCTACCCCCACACTATACTGGACAAAAAGGTTACTGCTGGATCACAACACCTTGGAGACAAGTTAGCGCACAGCCCAGAGATGCTGTAAAATTTGACTGACCTGTCATCATGAGCAAACAGAGAACGGTGACAGTCCCCAAAATCCAAGCCCCAAATCTTCACATTCCTGTCAGCGGAGCCGGTTGCAATGAGAGTCCCATCCTACAGAGCAACAGAGAGGAGGGTGTGGGGGAACTGGCTGGCAGCCCCATGAAGAATTGCTGTTGAACCAGCAACTAAGAACTGCTGAGTATACAGATACCTGGCTCCTGAAACATGCCCCGCCCCCAATCCCTCCATCTCCTCTCACCAGGGTGGCCCATGTTTGTCCTACAAGCACAGCCCATTGACAGCACCCTGCCTCTGTTCTGAACCTCTGCCGGCATTTAAGACCTTAGCTATATCTTGACATTTCTGGCTTCCAATAAGCCTCCTTCCAAGGACACCCCAGAACAAGATACAGCCCAAGAATGAACAGGCTTGAGAAGACTGCTCCACCTCAGCACCTGCTTTCTACTCCCACTACCAAAGAAGTCAAGCTCCTCTCAGACAGTCCGTAACTTCAGCAGAGAGCAGGCTGTATCTCTCAAGATGAGTGGAGGGAACCACCACAACATTTTGATTTCCGCTTGCTCACAGAATGCCCTGGTCAGTTCTGTCATGACCATTACTCAGTGACTCTCCTGGTGAGCACAGGACTGCAGGATAAGGAGGGGCTTGCTGTGTCCCATTAAAAAACTACTAAGTCAGAGCAAGGAGGTAGCAAGAAACATTATCCTTAGAGGCCTTGCTGCCAGCAGAGGTTCTTGCAGTCATTTGTATCATCACAGTCCCACCTAACACACAGCCCTAATGATACTTACATAGGAGATGTCCATACACAGCACTGGCAGCTTGTGTCCATACAGAGAAAGGAAAAACTGAAGCAGAAGAAAGGTGTCCCAGTTAGACATGCTGGGTAGAGATGCATGCAAATCTCAAGCTCCAAACTAGCTCTGCTCTGCCTCAGGAGTGCTGTCTTTCTATCACTGCCCCACTATCATTGTTAGCTGCAGAGCCGTGATGGCAGAACTGAGATGAAGGTGGAAGTACTCAAGCAAACTAAGCTAATCAATGCTCCCTATGGAGTTTCTCTCTCCTCTTCTTTGCCTGTTTGCCAGTGCTGGTCTGTCTTGTGTCACTCTCTAACATTCATGTGCTAATACACAACTCGCAAAACCACAATACACTGATCACAAAGAAGATTCTCCTTTCCCAGGCTTTACCTCTGCTATGCCCTATTTAATGCCATGTGTGACACATTTATCATTACAGGGTCTCACAGCTCTGGAGTACCACCATGCTCTCAGGGTTTAGAGTGAACCTTGCCACATGCAGGTTCACAACACTTCCCAGATGAAAAACTATCTTCTCCCAACGTTGGCCAGCCATGGTTCTGACTACATTTGCTAGCAAATAGGCACCTGAAGTGGGATGCATGGTCTCTCTATTAGTGTCCCACAATAAATAGACACTTTTCCTACGTATTCCCAATCAGACTACAATTACATCACTCTCTGCACAGCCTCACAGCCCTTTTGGTCATGTACCTTGAGTGTGTCAACATAGAAAACTTTCACAGTGCAATCCAGCAAGGAAACAGCCAGCAGCTTCTGGTTAGGGCTGTACCTCACACAGAGGACATCTTCATCCAGCTGTAAAACACGCACATGTTTCATGGAAAGCCTGGCAACAAGAAGAGAAAAACAACAATTGTTATCCCAAACAAACAAGTTGGGAAGAGGTAAAAATACAACTCCCAGACTGCACCCTGGGAAAGCAAGTTAATTCTAATTAGCATCTCATTCCTTATTACAAGACAGGCCTAGAAATAAGCACGGCACTGCAGGCTGATAAATTTCACTGCTAAATTTACTGCTTTCTGAGCTGGAGGCCCATCCCACAATTGGAAGCTATACTCCCACAAAAGCAACACATCAGAATGTGGCAAGTGTCCTTGAAGTGTCTGAGCAAAGCTCAGACCTTCACAAAACAGCACTGAGCTCACACTTTTCTCCAGATGTTCCACATACAAGTCATGGGCATTTATTACAGTGCACAGTAAAGGCCAAAGCATCCATCAGTGACTATGAATGTTGCAGCTGTAGTCTAGAAAGGTTTATTTTCTCACCTTTTCTGAATGCTGCTCTCATCCTTCACAAGCTCAAACTCCCAGAACTTGACACACTTATCAGCACCTCCTGTCACAAAGCCACGCTGCAGGGGAAAGAAAAAATTCCCACCATATTTGAAACTAGTTTTGCTGTAACCCAGAGAAATTCTACAGCAAGGAACTGTCAACACAAAAGGTGGTTTTTGGAATGTCCCACATTCCTACAATATTAATGATGAAGTGGACACCCCCAGGAGCACTTGCTCTGGTTAGATCATGCACTACCCATTGGATGAGCAACAACAAGCTCTAACAGGGACCTCAAAGACAAAGACTCCAAATGTTGAGACATGCACTGAAACTTTGGGCCTGAAAGCATTCATCTCAGCTGTAGGTAATAATGTGCTTGTGTTCTGTGAGCAAGCTGACCCTCTCACTCTTACCAGATCAGACATACCACTACCCCATAAGCACAGCCTTCTAAAGGATGAACAGTTCAAACACTATCCCTTTTACACTAATAACATGGGAAAATCTATCCCTTATGATTTAATCTGTAGGGTGAGCAAATCTCAGGCAGGTTATTACTTGCTATGGTTTTGATTCCACTAGAAACCACTCCAGGTTCTAGTGCAACATGAGAAAAGAAAGACAGGCATATACAACAAACAGAAGAAAGTGGAAACTGAGAGAAACCAGTATGAACCTGAATTCTGGTCATGGAGCAAAATTGATACAAGGAGTAAAAGACAAATAGATTTCTATAGCTATGGTGGTTAGGCCAAGTAGAGTGAGTTAGGGAGGCTAGTATGAGAACTATTCTCAGTAAACATGGATTCAGGAAACATTTATCATCTGTTGTGCTCAGGAAAAAAAATACCCAACATATTCCATAATCACATTACAAAACAGTGATGAGAAACTGCTCCAAAAACTCACAAGGCTGTCAAAAAGCAGCTACCCATGTCAGACGTTTATAAATCACTAGTACAGATTCCCCAAATCCAAGATTTTTACAGAGCAGAACAATGTAGAACCATAGAATAGTCTGGGTTGGAAAGGACCTTAAAATCGCCCAGTTTCAACTCCCTGCTATGAGAGGGACACCTCACACTAGACCATGTCACCCAAGCTTCTGTTCTGACCTTAAACACTGTCAGGGATGGGGCATTTACCACTTCTCTGGGCAACCTGTGCCAGTGCCTCACCACCCTCACTGTAAAGAACTTCTTCCTTAGATCTAACATGACATTCCTCTGTTTCAGTTTGAACCCATCATCCCTTGTGCTATCCCTGCACTCCCTGATGAAGAGGACTAAACTCTCAATGCCCATTCTCACCAACTTTGGAAATACAGGAGGAAGAAACTAATGTAACACTATAATTCAGACAAAGAGAACAGGCAGGCCTGGTAACTGTCAGCACGGTCAACAGGAGCTAACAGGTAATTACAGTTTCCATCAAACAAAGAAAGGGAACTGAATATGGAGAAAAGAGCTTACAGAAAATTTATTTGTCAGGGATTATCCTTTTCCTTAAGATCAAAAGAGTTAGTTAAGTCCTTGGATGGATCCCAAAGGCACTGGTGCATTTGGCACTGGTGTAATCCCTATTACTCAGTGCACCCAGATCCTGGGGCCACCAGCAAAAAAAAATACTACAGCAACTGAAAAAGTACAAGAAGAACTAAGAGCCCGAAAAACATCCTGCAGGAACAGGAGAAGTTCCCCCTAATGACCGTCAGCTAGATGGGAAGGGTAACTTGGTCACTCAAGAAGAGTGCCACACAAAGGAAAAACCTCACTGTGTTAACAAAATCTTTAATCCAGCAGACAAGCAGCAAATTAAACTGCTTCATCAGCCACTGCAGCAGGTTACAGGGACTGAAGCTCTCCACAGCTAGAACACATCCACAACGTCTGTATTGCTGCACACAGAGACTCCACCAGGGAAGTCCAAGTGCTCTCGATCATGCAGAAACCACATGAGGTGATGAAGATGAGGCTCTACTCAGCCCAAAGACTTACTGCCATGTGCCACACAGCTAGAGAGGTATTTCAGCAAACTGCGCCTGTATCCACAGTTTAAAGTTCTTGGACACTACCAGCTGCATCCTCCACCTCCCAGGATGAAGGGAGCCCATGGTCTCATCAGTAGTGCAAACACAGAACAGAATGTGCAACAGATGATACTTAGAAAGTGGTTGAGTTACCTGGTCTGGTGAAAGAGCAATGGACCACACCGCCCCGTTGTGAACATCAAGTGTCTCCATCAGACTCCCAGAAGCCAGGTCATACAGCTGCAGCTTCCCTGTCTGGGGAGAAAGATATATCAGAGAGGACTAATCAGCCCCCCCCTACAACACATGATAGCTCCCAGCAGAAGAGCACCCCTGCCACCCATTTTCCTAGCAGCCAGCTTCACTAGATGACTGTTACACACAGATGTCCAAACTCCTGATCCCCATCAGTGACTTGCCAAAGCTATCCAGCTCAAGAAGCCCCAAAAACTGCATAAAGAATCTGAGAATAGAGCAGAACCTGACTGTCAGAGTTTTTTACACCTAAACCAGAATGCTCCAGATGAAGAGATGCAATGTATTTTCTGTAAGGCTGCCTTCATGACATTTTCATAGCATATTTCCAGAGCTGGCCAGTCCGGAAATGCCCAGGTCTGGAAATAGGTTATAAAAGCTGTTTCTGGAGTACAGAAGCACACTGCTTACCTTGGTGCCAACAATGACCTGCCGATCTCCTGGGACGAAGAGCGAGCAGAGTGCGTACTCACACTCCATCGTCCGGATGCACTGCAAGGTCGCTCTGGGGACAAAGGCAAAGCCCAAAACCTCTTATCACACACAGTCTGTCCCACTGAGAGATGCTCCACGGTGTCCTCTGCCCAAGGCTGTCTTTTCAGCTGAGGCCAGAAGATACACCACCACCATGCTATGACCCAAATGCTATCCAACATCACTGCTAAGAATGTTTTCTATAAAAACATGCCATTACACAGTCCACCATCATGAGTTCCTGCTGTTATGAGCAAGGACAGCTCCTGTCATTCAGGACAGGAAGGAGAAGTGTAAGACAGCACACTCAAAGGAAACAACTTGAAATCCACAGCACTCAGGAAACATTGGGACAACCCTCTAGATCAAAACAGCAGCCTACTCAGTCTAATATTAGATCCTTCTGATATGATGCCAAGAAACTCACATGTTCCCAAAAGAACAGGTAGTAGCTAGTTCAGGGTTAGTACCTCATACTAAAAAAGAATAAAACCAACAAAATACAGTCTATAGTGGACTGCTACGTACAGCCTCTGTGTTTCGGTGTTTATCTTTCCATACCTGCCACTAAACTTAGCCTCAGTGCTGCTTTACAGCAAGAAAATCCATGAGTTAATTACGCAGTTTTAGCTCCACAGCTTTACAGTTTCCCTAAGAAGGAAAGAAGCCAAATAACTTTCTATTTATTTCCTTTACTTCTTTCACTATTTTCAATTTCTCCATCATCCCCTTATCACTGCCCATCTGAACACAGCATCTGTGAGTTCTGGGAGACGGACCCATAGGGCAGAGGAGAGTGACATAACTGGTCTGCGTACCTGTTCCAAACCTTTACAGACTCTGCAGCTGCAGAGAGAATGGCAATGTTGTCAGAGCTGAAAGCCAACGTCCTGACATCACTGCGGTGGCCTCCAATAGTTATCTTGGATGCACGGACAGCCTGTGGGACTTGTGCTGACAGGTTCAGGTTGTATGACTCAATGATGTTGTTCTGGAGCAGCAGAACGATCTTCAGCTCTCCTTTTGGAGAGAGAAACAAGTCAAATGACCTGTTAAATTAGACCAAAAAGAAAAAAAAAAAAGAGCTGTACATAGGGGCAGTAAGACAAAACGTAAGAGGGATCAAGTATCAAGAACAACTGAGAAAGAGGAATATAGACAGAGTACATGCCACAGGCAAGTCACAGAGGTGTGCAAGAAGGGGACCACTTGTGGAAGAGGTATGAATGGACTGGAGATCAAGGTAGGCTTCTCCCCAGCTTCAAGTGGAACACATGTCAAGGGGTAAACTTCTTCCACCTCTCCCTGTATTGAGCTGTGCAGAGTTCTTCCCAAGTAGCTATACAGCCACAGCTCAGCTTCTACAACAGACTTTCCACTCACTTGATTTTAGAAGAAGCTCTGATGTTAGTCACCCGTCGAATCTCCTCCTGCAGGCTCAGCTCCACACTCTTTTCAGGCTCCTCTTCAGAGTTCTGTCTAGGAATGTCAGATAATGGAGAAGAGTCAAATAGCCCAGGACTGACAACACAAACTTAACACAGAGACAGTGAATAAAAAGGAAACCACTTACTCAGCAGTGCTAACTACATTTTAAGAACAGGGTGAGACATTGAAGATCATGCTGGTATGCAGACTACTAAAGAGACAAACTGCCCTAAAAAAAGGCTATCTCTTCTGGAGCCAAAGCACTTAAACAAGGCACGTTAGAAAGATGGGAGGCAAAACAAAAAATTAATACAAAAGATGGCTCAATGTCCAAGAGGTTGTCCCTAAGGGGTCAGTGCTGAGACTGATCCTGTTCAACATCTTTGTCAGCAACATGGACAGTGGGATCAATGCACCCCCAGCAAGTTTGCCGATGACACCAATCTATGTGGTTCAGCTGATAAGCTGGAGGGAAGGGACGGGATCCAGAGGGACCTGGACACACTTGAGAGGTGGCCAGTGCCAACCTCATGAAGTTCAACATGGCCAAGTGGAAGGTCCTGCCCAAAAAGATTGGGCAGAGAAGAGATTCAGAGCAGCCCTGAGAAGGACTTAGGGGTGTTGATCGATGAGAAACTGAACATGAGCCACTTCAGTGTGTGCTGGGCTGCATCAAAAGGAGCATGACCAGCAGATCGAGGGAGGTGATCCTGCCCCTCTGCTCTCATGAGACCTCACTTGCAGCACTGTGTGCAGTTCTGGTGTCACCAACGTAAGAAGGACATGGAGCTGTTGGAGCAAGTCCAGAGGAGGCCACGAGGATGATCAGGGGCTGGAGCACCTCCCATATGAAGACAGGCTGAGAAAGTTGGGGCTGTTCAGCCTGGAGAAGAGAAGCTGCATGGAGACCTCAGAGCAGCTTCCAGTGTCTGAAGGTGGCCTACAAGGATGCCAGAGAGGGACTCTTCATCAGGGACTGGAGCAATAGGACAAGAGGTGATGGGTTTAAACTTGAACAGGAGAAGTTCAGGTTAGATATAAGGAAGAAGTTCTCTATTATGAGGGGGGTGAGACGCTGGCACAAGTTGCCCAAAGAAGTGGTAAATGCTCCATCCCCGGCAGTGTTCAAGGCCAGGCTGGACAGAGCTTTGGGTGACGATATGGTCTAGTGTGAGGTGTCCCTGCACATAGCAGGGGGGTTGGAACTGCATGATCTTAAGGTCCTTTCCAACCCAAACCATTCTATGATTCTATTACTCCAAAACTGACAACAGAGAGCTGTTTTTGAGACAGAGATCAGCTTCTGCTCATCTCCTACCACTCATCCAAAGTCCTCAGCCATTGCCAAAAATCCATCTCCAGATTTACATGCCCTGTGCTTCAGTTTCTACTCTGGAGCCAGACCTCTTCCTAACAGGTGTTGTAAGGCCCCTGTTAAGTGCCAGGATACCCAGAAAGACACTTAACACAAATTAAACATGAAGAAAGCTCTCACCTGTAACTCTGCCTGCTGTAAAACATGAGATGAGGTATCAGAGTCACTCTGACTTCTCAGATAAACCTCTCATTCCTGTACATCCTATCAAGGACTTTCTTTGATGTACCAAGCAGTGTAAACATGAGTATCAGGCAGAAGTGAGCAGCTCTGAAAAACCCATATTATGTCCGTTCATTTGCACACATTAGCTTTTTTTGCAGGGAGGCATTTCCTTAGTCTCTGGGAGTAGCATTGCTCAGACAAGCAGCAAGGATGTACAAGAATATCGACCCCAGAATAGAACATCTACACAGAGAAAACAACAAGTAGCTTGGAGTTCAACCACTGTGTCATGCTGCTGAAAGGCTTTTCTAACAGTTCTCTGGACACAGACAGCACCCAAATACATCCCAAAGACTGCTTACTTGGCTTTTTTCTTTGCTTTCTTCATTTTCTTTTCTAATTTCTTCTGGATTTCCTCTTCAGAAAGGACAGAGAACACTTCCAGAACAGCACCTGTTCCCTAAAGACAGAGCAAATAAAGTCAAAGGCATGGAAAGCCCTGGTTGTACAGAAATCACCCAAAGTCTCTACGAGCCTTATCTACAGCTTGATAGCAGAGCCCCACATTACTTACATGGCAGGCCAAAATCTTGCCCGTTCGGTCTGTGGCAAGCGTTACTACTCGGTCTCTCCCTTCCCGCATGATGGATCCAACTTTGCTGCACTTTACGAGGCGCTACAGGGAAAGGAGGAGAAAAACTCTGGTCTGAAAGCTCAAGTGGTCTTCTCAAAGTAACTCAAAAATCTACTGGCAAGTAAAGTCAACAGGAAAAGGGGGAAATGAACCTACAGGGTCCTGGTAGAACAGCTAGCAAGGATAACCTACGGACAAAACAAGCATTGTGTGAGCTATGAGCTTGTCTCGTGACGTTTTGCTGCTTTCTAGCTGAAAATAATCATAGACAGGCTCAGTGAAAGAATTAATTTAAATGGTTATACCTTGCCAGTAAAGACAGAGCTGATTTTTTTACGCTACAACAGCAGGAGAGTTCCTCTGTCAGAAGAGGCAGAGGTGGTAAGAACAGAGACTCTTAAACAGGTGATTGAAGGGAGAGGAATCTGCTAGAGAGGAAATTGGAAAAGTATTTAACAAGGTCAGGTATCTACCATAACTAGATGCAGTCTGAAATCTGAGCAGGACCCCAGAATGTTCCACTGGAAAGACAGAGTCAGTAAAGTCTCCACCAGCAGCACAAGTGGGAATGGTTTTCTGCAGTCCAATCTCATGCTGTATTTTGTTATGGTACAACTCTGACTGCTGCTGAGGAAGATGTTAAGAAGCAAAACAAGAATTACCACAACTTCCATAGCAGGCTAAGTATGACACTTGGGGTATAAACCAATCACAGAGAAGCAATGTGTGAGCAGCTCTAAAACTCCTGCTGGCTTTGCAAGCAGCACCATGCAAATGGGGTTAAGATACAACATCCCTCAGACAGCATGGAAAACTGAGCTTACTTCCTCAGGATGCTCATCCAGCTCTAGGGTCTCATCCTCTTCAGTGTTTTCTTCTGTTCCAGGTGAAGACCCTTTGCTTTTCTTGGATTCTGGCTCATCAGGGTCTTTTACCTTTTCATGGACAAAAAGAACATAAGAAGTACCTTAAATCACAAGAGCTATGGTGTTCTGGTTTCTATCTCACACTTCATTTCCCTGGAGGAACAAGGGCTTAGTGGGCACTGCAACAAAGGAGTGGCCTATAGCATGTCTGCAGACACCAAACACTCTGTCCTCCCCTCCTTATCATCCACCCACAAGACTATCTTCTCTCACCACAAGCCAGAAAGCAGGAAGATCTGAGAAAAGATCTGGAAATCTTGTTCTGGAAGTGCTCACAGCTCCACATGAAAGCTCAAAGCACAGAAAACAGCAAAGTCTATCCCTAGAGCAACTTCTGGACCCCTCAGAGAACAAAGATATTGATTTGGCTGTTTCCCAGAACATCAACCCGTTTAACATGTTCCCGTCCCACCCTAGTCCAAAGACAAGCAGCTGGGCAAGGCTGTGAAAGGTTACAGGGGGAGTATCTTACCTCCTGGATGTATGTGATATCCCACACCCTCAGCTCACTGTCCGCACTCCCAGTGACCAGACGCTTCTGTTCGGATACCAAAGCCATCCCCCAGACCTGTCCAGAGGCACAATGTGAGGAACTGGCTTATGGCTCCTTTAACTACTGTAACAACAACAGAGCATCTTTAATTGACTTATTTAAACAGTGTCCTGGGTTGAACCACAACAAACAGCAACCACCAAGAGACTGGATCTAGCCAGGACCTCCTCCAGGGACATCTGTATTGGAGTTGTCACCCACTGCATGTGGGAAGTTTGGAAGTTTCTCATTTGCTCATCCCTAAAGCCTGATGACAAACAAAACGCACCACAGTGCCAGTTTACAACTCATGAGAGCAGGGAGAGAGCAAAGTGAGCAATGTGTGAGGTGTTCGGGGGTTGGAACTAGATGATCTTAAGGTCCTTTCCAACCCAAACCATTCTGTGATTCAGTGACATATAATCCCAAATCCCCCCAGCTCATCAGCTCCCCACACACCCTCTTTACCTCAGTACGGTGTCCAACCAGAGTTTTGAAGCAGTGCTGGGTGTCCAGATCCCACCATTTCACCAATGTGTCTTTGCCGCTGGTATAAAGAAGGAAAACTCAAGACATGAGGAAAGACTGCCAGAGCTCACATGCTTAGAAAAGTGGCAGAAACAAAAAAAAAAAAATAAAATCTAAGCTATGCCAAAACATCTCACAGAGCAGCTGCTCAGATGTTGAATTTTCAAGCTCTGCAAGAACAAAGTGTAGCAATACAAAGGTACTGCATAAAAGTACCTAGCATATCACTGAAAACTGCGTCCTCCCCTGAACTGAAAGCCCCAGTGTCACACAGCCTCCTTTCTCATTTATTTAGGGTGAGAACAATACTCTTTGCTTAGGGTGAGAATGGTAAGTGAAAAGTCCTGATCAATTCTAAAGCTGCCTCTAAAACCTGCCCAACACATTCTCAACCTGTGCCATGCCTGTGCATTGATCAGGCTACAAGAAAAGCAGATTCCTTCATTCTTAACAGTGATTTGGAGCTGCTCCTCCTAACAGAGAATTACAGCTGCTTCAGTCCTTCAAAACCCTGCAGGATTAGATCTCCCTTAAAACACATTTCTGGCCATATTATGCTACCCCAATACTACAAGAACACCTGAGAAAAATAATTTGAACGTTTACATAGATTCTCTCAGTACACCCTACAAGATTTAGTACTCTTTTTGAGGGGTTTGTAACTTTGTTAGTGCCTATTTTCCTTAATAAGTTTCAACTAAATCGAAATATAAAACTTGTTCCATTAGTAAGCTCCCTCAGGACAAGCAAAAAAATCTGATTACAAGCGATATTTATTGTTAATCCATCTCTTTTGTTACACAGGATCCAAAGATACCTGTAAACTGAACATATGAAAGTATCACAAAAAAATCTGTAAACAAAAGGACTGGAGTTAGCTCTTCGGAGGAAAAAACAAAAAACCAAAAACAACAAAACAATCTAAAGTAAGGAAGCAACATTTTTATTTCAAGAAAGCAGGATCTCTACTCTGCTGATAAAATAAATAGAGCAGAATTCTTTATCTCAATTTGGAATTAAGAAACATTTCTAAAGATAGCCTGCAAGGACTTGAAATTGCATTAAGAAACAGGCACCATCTACCAAACCAACAAAATACTACTTTTTCCATTGGTAACAACAAAAAAAGGCACAAACAACTTCTTCTAAATTTATACTGAACTGATTGCATGCAGGTTTCTATTAAGCTATTAGATGACTATTAATAAACAAAGAAATCATTGACTGGTATTTGTGTATCTTCTGTCAACCATTTATTATTAAAGGGATAGTGTCACTATTCTGATTATGGTATTCAGATAGCTGAAAACCAACTCAAAAAACCATCTCTCAATTAACTCCTATAATGCCGCTTAGCAGGAGGCAATTTTTCTGTCCTATGGCTGTGTGAATTACACAACCTGCTTAATTCTTCACAATAAACAGAAAAAATTGTTATGTACATAAAGAACATTTCAGTTCTGTGTGCCATATTTGTATTCAGGCACCAGACTTAAGAAATCTGTGGACATGGCAAAATCATACTCTAAAATGCTGGTGGGTCTGAGAGACCATGAGTCAAGAAGGTAAATACAAATGGCTGTAGCACCCAAGATGTCTAAATTGCAAGTAAAACCATGGCTGCTTTCCTGATTAACTGCCACACTTAGCCTGGCTCACCTGGTGACCAGCAGGTTCTTCTCCTTCAAGAGAAGGACTTGAGTGACAGCATCTTTGTGTCCTCTCAGCCGGTACAGACCGCTCTCATTGATGACATCCCACACAATGACATCTGTATCCTGGAACAGACAAGAGTGTCTCTAAGGGACTGACATTTGTCTCTGCAAAGCATCTCTCTCCTCTATGAAATTAAAAAGATTACATAGGAGCACACTTTCTCCCTCTGAATTTGAATGTCAGGGATGATTAATGCAAATGACATTCCTTCCCCAAAGGCGTGTTCAGACCAACAAATGCACCTCTGTCCCAGTTGAGCTGCTTTTGCTATTCCTGACCTCACAAGCTTCTTCACTTTAACAGCTCTACTGGTACCCCACTCCCACCCTGCAGTCCCAACTGCTCTCTCAGCTCTATAGACAGAGGCCACATAACCCACTTAAAATACCAAACATTTCAGCACAGGTCAGCCTTCTCCATGGAGCATCTCTATGAAAGGGCTGTGCTCCAGATATGTAACCCTCACCTTTGAGCCAGATACCAGCCGGCCACCCAGATGGTCATACTGCATGGCTGTAACTGCAGCCTTGTGTCCATTGAAAGTGATATTCACTTCTCCACTTAGGAGGCTGAAGACACGGATGGATCCATCTTCATACCCAACAGCCAAGTGCAACCCATCTGGAGAGGGGCAGAGACAACTGACCTCATGCTTAAGACCCTTAAGGATAAGAACCTGCAATTTTTAGGAGACAGAACACACATAATGTAGATAAATGACATGTTAGAGCCAGATACTTGCACGACAGAAAGTACATACTGTACTCTTCTATTGAACTTCCAACTGAGCACTTATACTGCTTTAGAAGCTCATTTTTCCACTTCCTGCACCAAACACAGTGTCATTACCTCCATTTTACAAGGGACACAGCAGCTAGAAGGGAAGTAATTTCTCATAATCAAACAGAAAACTGATGCAGAACAAGTCCTGGAACTCCAAAGCCAAAATTTTTCCTCCTGCATTTTAAGTGCCAGAAAGCAAAGGACATTGCTGAACTATAAAGCCTCAAAGCTTCTTCCTGACTCATCATCTCTTACTTGGCCTTTCTTTCCCAGATCTTTTTCCACAGGCTACAGAGGAACTTGAGAAAGACAAAAACATCTCCAAAACAACATGCCAGCAGTCAACACTCTAGGGTCTGCAAAGCAAATCCTGAATTCAGTGTGCAGTGGACAGCAGTACTTACTATGATTTCAGAATATGTCAGGAGGCAACACACAGCAAAGTCCTTAAAGTTACAGCTCACAAAGCCCTATGAGATACAACTTTCAGAGGGAAAGCCCAGTTCCACAGCCCAAAACACAAATTCCACAACATGTCTATTTCATCCCATAACTTTCTGGTCACCAGCTAAACAGAGAAGAGCTTTCCAGTCACTATGACAGTAATTACCCTTCCTCAACTGAGGTACCAAAAGCAAATCTCGAAGAATCAACAATGAAACTCAACCAGGGCACACCCACATGCTCACACCACAAACAAAAGTTGGGGCTGTTCTGCCTGGAGAAGAGAAGCTGCATGGAGACCTCAGAGCAGCTTCCAGTGTCTGACGAGGGCTACAGGGATGCTGGAAAGGGACTCTTCATCAGGGACTGTAGCAATAGGACAAGGGGTGATGGATTCAAACTGAAACAGGGGAAGTTCAGGTTAGATGTAAGGAAGAAGTTCTTTACTATGAGGGGGGTGAGGCACTGGCCCAGAGAAGTGGTAAATGCTCCATCCCTGGCAGTGTTCAAGGCCAGGTTGGACAGAGCCTTGGGTTACATGGTCTAGTGTGAGGTGTCCCTACCCATGGCAGGGAGGTTGGAACTGGATGGTCTTAAGGCCCTTTCCAGCCCAAACCATTCTATGATACTATGTGCTTAGACTACACAAAAGGGGAATGGGGGAGATGTGGAGGTGGCGCTTCCTTTAAAACGTACCCCGCTAACACAAAGAGTTTTGCTCCAGGTGGCCCTAATACGCCACACATCACACGATAATTCCCCCACACCGCAGTGGCTGCCCCTCACCAGCGTGTGTCCGCCCCACAAAACCGGGCTCCGCTCTCACCTTCTCTCCCTTCCGCGTGTCCCACACGAAGACGTGCTCGCAGGCCGCGGCCACGCAGCGGCCCCGCTCCCCGCGTAGCGCCACAAAGGCCGCATTACCCTTAGCGCTGCCCACCAGCCCGAAGAGCGCGGCCGGCCCGTACCGCAGATACTGGCGGGTGAGGCCCATGGCGGCGCC